CAGGCCCGTAATCTGCCATGGGCCCCCCGTACCGCCTCCTCATGCTGCTGCCAGGTCCAGAGTGTGTCATGGGTCCCTGTACGGCCTCCCATTGCTGCTGTCTCCATCGCCACACTCTGCCATGTGCCACTTTCAGGTCTCCTCACACTGCTGGTGGGTTCCATTTTGTCATAGGGTGCTGGCAGATTACGGGCCTCCCATTGCTGCTGCCAGGCCCGTAATCTGCCATGGGCCCCCGTACCGCCTCCTCATGCTGCTGCCAGGTCCAGAGTGTGTCATGGGTCCCTGTACGGCCTCCCATTGCTGCTGTCTCCATCGCCACACTCTGCCATGTGCCACTTTCAGGTCTCCTCACACTGCTGGTGGGTTCCATTTTGTCATAGGGTGCTGGCAGATTACGGGCCTCCCATTGCTGCTGCCAGGCCCGTAATCTGCCATGGGCCCCCAGTACCGCTCCTCATGCTGCCCAGGCCCTGTGTATGTCCATGGGCCCCCGTACCGCCTCCTCATGCTGCTGCCAGGTCCTCCTGTATTCCCATTGCTGCTGCTGCCAGGCCCGTAATCTGTCATGGGCCCCTGTACGCCTCCTCATGCTGCTGCCAGGTCCATTTTGTCATGGGTCTGGCTGTACGGCCTCCCATTGCTGCTGTCTCCATCGCCACACTCTGCCATGTGCCACTTTCAGGTCTCCTCACACTGCTGGTGGGTTCCATTTTGTCATAGGGTGCTGGCAGATTACGGGCCTCCCATTGCTGCTGCCAGGCCCGTAATCTGCCATGGGCCCCCGTACCCTCCTCCTCATGCTGCTGCCAGGTCCAGAGTGTGTCATGGGTCCCTGTACGGCCTCCCATTGCTGCTGTCTCCATCGCCACACTCTGCCATGTGCCACTTTCAGGTCTCCTCACATGCTGGTGGGTTCCATTTTGTCATAGGGTGCTGGCAGATTACGGGCCTCCCATTGCTGCTGCCAGGCCCGTAATCTGCCATGGGCCCCCGTACCGCCTCCTCATGCTGCTGCCAGGTCCAGAGTGTGTCATGGGTCCCTGTACGGCCTCCATTGCTGCCAGGTCTGTCTCCATCGCCACTCCCATTGCTGCTGCTCCATCGCCACACTCTGCCATGTGCCACTTTCAGGTCTCCTCACACTGCTGGTGGGTTCCATTTTGTCATAGGGTGCTGGCAGATTACGGGCCTCCCATTGCTGCTGCCAGGCCCGTAATCTGCCATGGGCCCCCGTACCGCCTCCTCATGCTGCTGCCAGGCCCGTAATCTGTCCAGGGCCCCTGTACCGCCTCCTCATGCTGCTGCCAGGTCCAGAGTGTGTCATGGGTCCCTGTACGGCCTCCCATTGCTGCTGTCTCCATCGCCACACTCTGCCATGTGCCACTTTCAGGTCTCCTCACACTGCTGCTGGTGGGTTCCATTTTGTCATAGGGTGCTGGCAGATTACGGGCCTCCCATTGCTGCTGCCAGGCCCGTAATCTGCCATGGGCCCCCGTACCGCCTCCTCATGCTGCTGCCAGGTCCAGAGTGTGTCATGGGTCCCTGTACGGCCCCATTGCTGCTGTCTCCATCGCCACACTCTGCCATGTGCCACTTTCAGGTCTCCTCACACTGCTGGTGGGTTCCATTTTGTCATAGGGTGCTGGCAGATTACGGGCCTCCCATTGCTGCTGCCAGGCCCGTAATCTGCCATGGGCCCCCGTACCGGTTCCTCATGCAGGGTGCTGCCAGCTGGGCCCGTAATCTGCATGGGTCCCCGTACGGCCTCCCATTGCTGCTGCTCCAGGCCCGTAATCTGTCATGGGCCCTGTACCGCTCCTCATGCTGCTGCCAGGTCCAGAGTGTTGTCATGGGTCCCTGTACGGCCTCCCATTGCTGCTGTCTCCATCGCCACACTCTCTGCCATGTGCCACTTTCAGGTCTCCTCACACTGCTGGTGGGTTCCATTTTGTCATAGGGTGCTGGCAGATTACGGGCCTCCCATTGCTGCTGCCAGGCCCGTAATCTGCCATGGGCCCCGTACCGACTCCTCATGCTGCTGCCAGGCCCGTAATCTGTCATGGGCCCCTGTACCGGGCCTCCGCCTCCTCATGCTGCTGCTGCCAGGTCCAGAGTGTGTCATGGGTCCCTGTACGGCCTCCCATTGCTGCTGTCTCCATCGCCACACTCTGCCATGTGCCACTTTCAGGTCTCCTCACACTGCTGGTGGGTTCCATTTTGTCATAGGGTGCTGGCAGATTACGGGCCTCCCATTGCTGCTGCCAGGCCCTAATCTGCCATGGGCCCCCGTACCGACTCCTCATGCTGCTGCCAGGCCCGTAATCTGTCATGGGCCCCTGTACCGCCTCCTCATGCTGCTGCCAGGTCCAGAGTGTGTCATGGGTCCCTGTACGGCCTCCCATTGCTGCTGTCTCCATCGCCACACTCTGCCATGTGCCACTTTCAGGTCTCCTCACACTGCTGGTGGGTTCCATTTTGTCATAGGGTGCTGGCAGATTACGGGCCTCCCATTGCTGCTGCCAGGCCCGTAATCTGCCATGGGCCCCCGTACCGACTCCTCATGCTGCTGCCAGGCCCGTAATCTGTCATGGGTCCCTTACCGCCTCCTACGGCCTCCCATTGCTGCTGTGCCCCATTGCTGCTGTCCATCGCCACACTGCTGCCATGTGCCACTTTCAGGTCTCCTCACACTGCTGGTGGGTTCCATTTTGTCATAGGGTGCTGGCAGATTACGGGCCTCCCATTGCTGCTGCCAGGCCCGTAATCTGCATGGGCCCCCGTACCGCCTCCTCATGCTGCTGCCAGGTCCAGAGTGTCTCATGGGTCCCTGTACGGCCTCCCATTGCTGCTGTGTCTCCATCGCCACACTCTGCCATGTGCCACTTTCAGGTCTCCTCACACTGCTGGTGGGTTCCATTTTGTCATAGGGTGCTGGCATTACGGGTCCCATTGCTGCTGTCAGATTACGGGCCTCCCATTGCTGCTGCCAGGCCCGTAATCTGCATGGGCCCCCGTACCGCCTCCTTGCTGCTGCCAGGCCCAGTTGTCCATGGGCCCCCGTTACGGCCCTCCCATTGCTGCTGCCAGGCCCGTAATCTGCCATGGGCCCCTGTACCGCCTCCTCATGCTGCCCGTGCCAGGTCCAGAGTGCTGCCAGGTCCAGAGTGTCATGGGGTCCCTGTACGGCCTCCCATTGCTGCTGTCTCCATCGCCACACTCTGCCATGTGCCACTTTCAGGTCTCCTCACACTGCTGGTGGGTTCCATTTTGTCATAGGGTGCTGGCAGATTACGGGCCTCCCATTGCTGCTGCCAGGCCCGTAATCTGCCATGGGCCCCCGTACCGACTCCTCATGCTGCTGCCAGGCCCGTAATCTGTCATGGGCCCCTGTACCGCCTCCTCATGCTGCTGCCAGGTCCAGAGTGTGTCATGGGTCCCTGTACGGCCTCCCATTGCTGCTGTCTCCATCGCCACACTCTGCCATGTGCCACTTTCAGGTCTCCTCACACTGCTGGTGGGTTCCATTTTGTCATAGGGTGCTGGCAGATTACGGGCCTCCCATTGCTGCTGCCAGGCCCGTAATCTGCCATGGGCCCCCGTACCGACTCCTCATGCTGCTGCCAGGCCCGTAATCTGTCATGGGTCCCCTGTACGGCCTCCTCATTGCTGCTGTCCATCGGTCTGTGTGTCATGTGTCCACTTTCAGGTCTCCTCATTGCTGCTGGGTTCCATTTTGTCATAGGGTGCTGGCATGGGCCCCCGTACCGACTCCTCATGCTGCTGCCAGGCCCGTAATCTGTCATGGGCCCCTGTACCGCCTCCTCATGCTGCTGCCAGGTCCAGAGTGTGTCATGGGTCCCTGTACGGCCTCCCATTGCTGCTGTCTCCATCGCCACACTCTGCCATGTGCCACTTTCAGGTCTCCTCACACTGCTGGTGGGTTCCATTTTGTCATAGGGTGCTGGCAGATTACGGGCCTCCCATTGCTGCTGCCAGGCCCGTAATCTGCCATGGGCCCCTGTACCGCTCCTCATGCTGCTGCCAGGCCCGTAATCTGTCATGGGTCCCTGTACGGCTCCTCATTGCTGCTGCCAGGTCCATCGCCAGTCTGCCATGTGCCACTTTCAGGTCTCCTCCCATGCTGCTGCCCAGGCCATTTTGTCATAGGGTGCTGGCAGATTACGGGCCTCCCATTGCTGCTGCCAGGCCCGTAATCTGTCATGGGGGCCCTGTACCGCCTCCTCATGCTGCTGCCAGGTCCAGAGTGTGTCATGGGTCCCTGTACGGCCTCCCATTGCTGCTGTCTCCATCGCCACACACTGCCATGTGCCACTTTCAGGTCTCCTCACACTGCTGGTGGGTTCCATTTTGTCATAGGGTGCTGGCAGATTACGGGCCTCCCATTGCTGCTGCCAGGCCCGTAATCTGCCATGGGCCCCCGTACCGCCCTCATGCTGCTCCTCATGCTGCTGCCAGGTCCCAGGTCCAGAGTGTGTCATGGGTCCCTGTACGGCCTCCCATTGCTGCTGTCTCCATCGCCACACTCTGCCATGTGCCACTTTCAGGTCTCCTCACACTGCTGGTGGGTTCCATTTTGCTGGCAGTCATAGGGTGCTGCCAGGCCCGATCTGCCATGGGCCTCCCATTGCTGCTGCCAGGCCCGTAATCTGCCATGGGCCCCTGTACCGCCTCCTCATGCTGCTGCCAGGTCCAGAGTGTCTCATGGGTCCCTGTACGGCCTCCCATTGCTGCTGTCTCCATCGCCACACTCTGCCATGTGCCACTTTCAGGTCTCCTCACACTGCTGGTGGGTTCCATTTTGTCATAGGGTCATAGGGTGCTGCCATGGCAGATTACGGGCCTCCCATTGCTGCTGCCAGGCCCGTAATCTGCCATGGGCCCCTGTACCGCCTCCTCATGCTGCTGCCAGGTCCAGAGTGTGTCATGGGTCCCTGTACGGCCTCCCATTGCTGCTGTCTCCATCGCCACACTCTGCCATGTGCCACTTTCAGGTCTCCTCACACTGCTGGTGGGTTCCATTTTGTCATAGGGTGCTGGCAGATTACGGGCCTCCCATTGCTGCTGCCAGGCCCGTAATCTGCCATGGGCCCCTGTACCGCCTCCTCATGCTGCTGCCAGGTCCCAGAGAGTCTGTCATGGGTCCCTGTACGGCCTCCCATTGCTGCTGTCTCCATCGCCACACTCTGCCATGTGCCACTTTCAGGTCTCCTCACACTGGTGGTGGGTTCCATTTTGTCATAGGGTGCTGGCAGATTACGGGCCTCCCATTGCTGCTGCCAGGCCCGTAATGCATGGGCCCCTGTACCGCCTCTCTCATGCTGCTGCCAGGTCCAGTGTGTGTCATGGGTCCCTGTACGGCTCCCATTGCTGCTGCCAGGCCGTAATCTGCCATGGGCCCCTACCGATCCTCATGCTGCTGCATTTTGCCCGTGGTCTGTGCATGGGCCCCCGTAATCTGTACCGCCTCCGCCTCCTCATGCTGCTGCCAGGTCCAGAGTGTGTCATGGGTCCCTGTACGGCCTCCCATTGCTGCTGTCTCCATCGCCACACTCTGCCATGTGCCACTTTCAGGTCTCCTCACACTGCTGGTGGGTTCCATTTTGTCATAGGGTGCTGGCAGATTACGGGCTCCCATTGCTGCTGCTGCTGGCCCGTAATCTGCCATGGCCCCAGTACCGATCTCCTCATGCTGCCCAGGCCATTTTGTCATGGGTGGGGCAGTACGGGCCTCCCATTGCTGCTGCCAGGCCCGTAATCTGTCATGGGCCCCTGTACCGCCTCCTCATGCTGCTGCCAGGTCCAGAGTGTGTCATGGGTCCCTGTACGGCCTCCCATTGCTGCTGTCTCCATCGCCACACTCTGCCATGTGCCACTTTCAGGTCTCCTCACACTGCTGGTGGGTTCCATTTTGTCATAGGGTGCTGGCAGATTACGGGCCTCCCATTGCTGCTGCCAGGCCCGTAATCTGCCATGGGCCCCCGTACCGACTCCTCATGCTGCTGCCAGGCCCGTAATCTGTCATGGGCCCCCGTACCGCCTCCTCATGCTGCTGCCAGGTCCAGAGTGTCTCATGGGTCCCTGTACGGCCTCCCATTGCTGCTGTCTCCATCGCCACACTCTGCCATGTGCCACTTTTCAGGTCTCCTCACACTGCTGGTGGGTTCCATTTTGTCATAGGGGGTGCTGGCAGATTACGGGCCTCCCATTGCTGCTGCCAGGCCCGTAATCTGCCATGGGCCCCCGTACCGCCCTCATGCTGCTGCCAGGTCCAGTAGTGTGTCATGGGTCCCTGTACGGCTCCCATTGCTGCTGTCTGCATGCCACTCTCCAGCCAGTGTGTCATGGGTCCCTCACACCCATGCTGCTGCTGCCAGGCCCGTAATCTGCCAGGGTGCTGGCACCGATTACGGGCCTCCCATTGCTGCTGCCAGGCCCGTAATCTGTCATGGGCCCCTGTACCGCCTCCTCATGCTGCTGCCAGGTCCAGAGAGTGTGTCATGGGTCCCTGTACGGCCTCCCATTGCTGCTGTCTCCATCGCCACACTCTGCCATGTGCCCACTTTCAGGTCTCCTCACACTGCTGGTGGGTTCCATTTTGTGTCATGGGTGGGTCCCATTGCTGGCAGATTACGGGCCTCCCATTGCTGCTGCCAGGCCCGTAATCTGCCATGGGCCCCTGTACCGCCTCCTCCTCATGCTGCTGCCAGGCCCGTAATCTGTCATGGGTCCCTGTACGGCCTCCCATTGCTGCTGTCTCCATCGCCACACTCTGCCATGGGTGCTTTACGGCCTCCCATTGCTGCTGCCAGGCCCCATTTTGCATGGGCCCCCGTACCGATTACGGGCCTCCATGCTGCTGCCAGGCCCGTAATCTGTCATGGGCCCCTGTACCGCCTCCTCATGCTGCTGCCAGGTCCAGAGTGTGTCATGGGTCCCTGTACGGCCTCCCATTGCTGCTGTCTCCATCGCCACACTCTGCCATGTGCCACTTTCAGGTCTCCTCACACTGCTGGTGGGTTCCATTTTGTCATAGGGTGCTGGCAGATTACGGGCCTCCCCCATTGCTGCTGCCAGGCCCGTAATCTGCCATGGGCCCCCGTACCGCCCTCATGCTGCTGCCAGGCCCGAGTGTAATCTGTCCCTGTACGGCCCCATTGCTGCTGTCTCCATCGCCACACTCTGCCATGTGCCAGGTCTCCTCACTGTCATGGGTGGGTCCATCTGTACACTCTGCTCACACTGGCTGCACACTGGTGGGTTCCATTTTGTCATAGGGTGCTGGCAGTACGGGCCTCCCATTGCTGCTGCCAGGCCCGTAATCTGCCATGGGCCCCTGTACCGCCTCCTCATGCTGCTGCCAGGTCCAGAGTGTGTCATGGGTCCCTGTACGGCCTCCCATTGCTGCTGTCTCCATCGCCACACTCTGCCATGTGCCACTTTCAGGTCTCCTCACACTGCTGGTGGGTTCCATTTTGTCATAGGGTGCTGGCAGATTACGGGCCTCCCATTGCTGTGCCAGGCCCGTAATCTGCCATGGGCCCCCGTACCGCCTCCTCATGCTGCTGCCAGGTCCAGAGTGTGTCTCATGGGTCCCTGTACGGCCTCCCATTGCTGCTGTCTCCATCGCCACACTCTGCCATGTGCCACTTTCAGGTCTCCTCACACTGCTGGTGGGTTCCATTTTGTCATAGGGTGCTGGCAGATTACGGGCCTCCCATTGCTGCTGCCAGGCCAGGCCGTAATCTGCCATGGGCCCCTGTACCGCCTCCTCATGCTGCTGCCAGGTCCAGAGTGTGTCATGGGTCCCTGTACGGCCTCCCATTGCTGCTGTCTCCATCGCCACACTCTGCCATGTGCCACCACTTTCAGGTCTCTCACACTGCTGGTGGGTTCCATTTTGTCATAGGGTGCTGGCAGATTACGGGCCTCCCATTGCTGCTGCCAGGCCCGTAATCTGCATGGGCCCCCGTACCGCCTCCTCATGCTGCTGCCAGGTCCAGAGTGTGTCATGGGTCCCTGTACGGCCTCCATTGCTGCTTCTCCATCGCCACACTCTGCCATGTGCCACTTTCAGGTCTCCTCACACTGCTGGTGGGTTCCATTTTGTCATAGGGTGCTGGCAGATTACGGGCCTCCCATTGCTGCTGCCAGGCCCGTAATCTGCCATGGGCCCCCCGTACCGCCTCCTCATGCTGCTGCTCATGCTGCTGCCAGGCCTCCTCATGCTGCTGCCAGGTCCAGAGTGTCATGGGTCCCTGTACGGCCTCCCATTGCTGCTGTCTCCATCGCCACACTCTGCCATGTGCCACTTTCAGGTCTCCTCACACTGCTGGTGGGTTCCATTTTGTCATAGGGTGCTGGCAGATTACGGGCCTCCCATTGCTGCTGCCAGGCCCGTAATCTGCCATGGGCCCCCTGTACCGCCTCCTCATGCTGCTGCCAGGTCCAGAGTGTCTCATGGGTCCCTGTACGGCCTCCCATTGCTGCTGTCTCCATCGCCACACTGTGCCATGTGCCACTTTCAGGTCTCCTCACACTGCTGGTGGGTTTCCATTTTGTCATAGGGTGCTGGCAGATTACGGGCCTCCCATTGCTGCTGCCAGGCCCGTAATCTGCCATGGGCCCCCGTACCGCCTCCTCATGCTGCTGCCAGGCCCGTAATCTGTCATGGGTCCCTGTACGGCCTCCCATTGCTGCTGTCTCCATCGCCACACTCTGCCATGTGCCACTTTCAGGTCTCCACACATGCTGGTGGGTTCCATTTTGTCATAGGGTGCTGGCAGATTACGGGCCTCCCATTGCTGCTGCCAGGCCCGTAATCTGCCATGGGCCCCCGTACCGCCTCCTCATGCTGCTGCCAGGTCCAGAGTGTGTCTCATGGGTCCCTGTACGGCCTCCCATTGCTGCTGTCTCCATCGCCACACTCTGCCATGTGCCACTTTCAGGTCTCCTCACACTGCTGGTGGGTTCCATTTTGTCATAGGGTGCTGGCAGATTACGGGCCTCCCATTGCTGCTGCCAGGCCCGTAATCTGCCATGGGCCCCTGTACCGCCTCCTCATGCTGCTGCCAGGCCCGTAGTCATGGGTCCCTGTACGGCCTCCCATTGCTGCTGTCTCCATCGCCACACTCTGCCATGTGCCACTTTCAGGTCTCCTCACACTGCTGGTGGGTTCCATTTTGTCATAGGGTGCTGGCAGATTACGGGCCTCCCATTGCTGCTGCCAGGCCCGTAATCTGCCATGGGCCCCCGTACCGCCTCCTCATGCTGCTGCCAGGTCCAGAGTGTCTCATGGGTCCCTGTACGGCCTCCCATTGCTGCTGTCTCCATCGCCACACTCTGCCATGTGCCACTTTCAGGTCTCCTCACACTGCTGGTGGGTTCCATTTTGTCATAGGGTGCTGGCAGATTACGGGCCTCCCATTGCTGCTGCCAGGCCCGTAATCTGCCATGGGCCCCCGTACCGACTCCTCATGCTGTGACGTTGCAACAAGGTGGAATTCAACCCTACATATGTTAGACCGCCTTTACGAACAGCGAAAGGCCATCACCGATTTCCTGATGTTACAAGCGGATAAAGGTACTCCCCTCTGTAACTTAGATGTCAGCCATTGGCAGCTCATGCGTGGACACCTGCCGCTTGCTCAGGCCCTTTGAGGAGGCCACGCTATTCGTGAGTCGGCAGGACTATGGGATTGAACGACGTCAATCCTCTGTTGCATGTCCTGGAACAAATGCTGTTAACAATGGCTGGTCAGGGTGCGGTAGACGTGGCGCACAGATCTCAACGCCACATGACCCATGGGGGCAGGACAGGAAGAAGAGGAGGAGGTAGAGGAGGACATTGGTGCTCAGGAATTATTGAGTGAAATGGGTGGTTTTTCCACTCAGCGGACAGGAGTGGAGGAGCAGGAGCATCTGGTGAGGTTCCAGGAGGAGGAGGAGACAGAGGACCCAGACGCACCGTGGCAGTATGCTGTGGAGCCATGGAGGCAGGGAGTAGTCCCTCGCATTCCTTGGCACAAATGGCCCATAGCATGCTCGGTTGCTTGCGTAGCGACAGCCGAATAATAACCATCAGACAGAGGGATGACTTTTGGCTGTCCACCTTGTTGGACCCTCGCTTACCGTTCAAAAATGGTGGCCTTTTTACACCTGCTGAGAGGGTTCCAAAATAACGTACTATAAAAACCACCTATGTAGTCAGTTGGTCTCTGCCTTTCTGCGCCAACGTCCATCCTCAGACACTGTGGGCCCTGTGTGCTCGCGTTCCGCTGCCATGGCAGCAGGGGAGGGGTCATAGGGGTGGTAGGAGCAGTGGCAGGCCCACCATTGCGGCTGCCTCAGTCTGCAGTCGCCATGATGAGTAGCTTTCTTCACCAGCGCAGTGAGGAAAACTACTAACCAGCCGCAGCAGCAGCAGCATCAGGTGGACCTGGAGCAGGACCTCAAACAACAGGCTTGGGCCTACTTGGACAGCACCCTGCCAACCGAGGTAGACAATCCCCTTGAATACTGGGCAACGAAACTTGACCTTTGGCCCCAACTAGCTGAATTTGCCCTTGAAAGGCTGTCATGCCCGGCCAGTAGCGTGGCATCGGAGCGCGTGTTTTAGTGCGGCAGGAGGTATTGTAACTCCGCGGAGGACACGACTGTCCACCCAAAGTGTGGAGAGACTCATGTTTGTGAAAATGAATCAGGCGTGGATTAGTCTGGATTTCAAACCACCAGTTCCTGACACAACTGACTAAATCCGCCATGAATCATGCCCCAAACATGTTATTATTTTTAACATAGGCCTCTGTATGGCCTTCAATTTAAGCTGCTTACGCTTCGCCACTCTGCCATGGGCCCCTGTACCGCCTCCTCTTGCTGCTGCCAGGTCCAGAGTGTCTCATGGGTCCCTGTACGGCCTCCCATTGCTGCTGTCTCCATCGCCACATTCTGCCATGTGCCACTTTCAGGTCTCCTCACACTGCTGGTGGGTTCCATTTTGTCATAGGGTGCTGGCAGATTACGGGCCTCCCATTGCTGCTGCCAGGCCCGTAATCTGCCATGGGCCCCTGTACCGCCTCCTCCTCATGCTGCTGCCAGGCCCGTAATCTGTCATGGGTCCCTGTACGGCCTCCCATTGCTGCTGTCTCCATCGCCACACTCTGCCATGTGCCACTTTCAGGTCTCCTCACACTGCTGGTGGGTTCCATTTTGTCATAGGGTGCTGGCAGATTACGGGCCTCCCATTGCTGCTGCCAGGCCCGTAATCTGTCATGGGCCCCTGTACCGCCTCCTCATGCTGCTGCCAGGCCCGTAATCTGCCATGGGCCCCTGTACCGCCTCCTCATGCTGCTGCCAGGTCCAGAGTGTCTCATGGGTCCCTGTACGGCCTCCCATTGCTGCTGTCTCCATTGCAACACTGTGCCATGTGCCACTTTCAGGTCTCCTCACACTGCTGGTGGGTTCCATTTTGTCATAGGGTGCTGTATGGCCTCCCATTGCTGCTGCCTCCTCCGCCACACTGTGGCTCCACACTCTGGTTTTGGCCCCGTGACTGCCCAAATGAGTGAAGTGTGCGGTGATTCTAAGATCGACGGCACTCATCTGCATGTCATACTGACTGACAGTATTATTTCTCTTTTCCCAGCAGACTCCAAGGGCATTTAAATTAAGGGTACAGTGTTCTGCACTAATATAAAGGCTCTCTGAAGCCTAGAAACACCCTTTTTATAAGTTAAATACGCAGCGAATATATTCGCATCGAATTGAATTTATTCCTCGTATTCGCCGAATCAGCCGAATCGAATTTTTGAATACTTCGCTCATCTCTACTAAATACGTTTAGAATGTCTACTTTCCAAAAAGAGGCAATTTGGAGGATATTTGTACTGTCCTGGCATTTTCGGGCCTCAAGAAACGAGATCAGCTGTCAGTACATCAGGATTCATTGATTTATATATATATATATATATATATATATATATATATATATATATTAGAAGACACCAAGGATGCGTCGTGGTTAGCAGTTTCTCCTGTGTTTTTTAGTTTGATGTGGGCCCTTGGAGACTGGAGACTTTAAGAGTAATGGGAGGAATGAGTCTCTTTTTTTGCTGCCAGAAAGCTGTTTTTGTTATTATTTGAAAAATAAAGACTGACCTTGATTTCACATGTCCTCAGTGTGAGCGTAATCCCCCAGAATATCACAGTTGGTGGCTCGGATGTGGGCAGTACACCCTACCAGATATTGCTGAGCTGTGAACGAACTGGACAGTTAAAAGAAAAAGTGCTGTTTTAAGTCCTGGGGTTAAAGCTGCACAATCGGTGAACCCGTAGACCACAAGATGGAGGAGCTGATAAAACAGTTGGTTACATAGAGAAGAAAGAGAAGTGCACCAGACTAAGTGCAGTAGGAATATAACAGTTTATTGCACACAAGATTATAAAAACTCACAAGAAGTGGGTAGATATCAGGCATCAATATATAAGGAGGAGGATGTCATCTGTGCTGCACCTCACAAATGGATGGCTGCAATGCCAAGGTGTTGCGCGGCTGGCGCTCTAGGCGGGTCCCACAGGAGGAAGCGAGGGTGGCAGGCGCAGTAACCGGGAGTCGCGGCGCAGATAAGAACCGGGATCCAGGGCAGGCACTGCTGATCTCACATCAGCGTGGGTATAGGAGCCAGCTTGAGGCACATCCAAGATGGCCGCCGGGCAGGAAATGACTTCAGGACGTTGCTAGGAATCCTCCAAGGGGGTGGTGACGCGTTTCTAGGCAACCTGCGCCGCGACTCCCGGTTACTTCGCCTGCCACCCTCGCTTCCTCCTGTGGGACCCGCCTAGAGCGCCAGCCGCACAACACCTTGGCATTGCAGCCATCCATTTGTGAGGTGCAGCACAGATGACATCCTCCTCCTTATATATTGATGCCTGATATCTACCCACTTCTTGTGAGTTTTTATAATCTTGTGTGCAATAAACTGTTCTATTCCTACTGCACTTAGCTGGCGCACTTCTCTTTTTTCTCTATTTTACCACAGAGTCCGGTTTACTCTAGAAAGTGCAAGCCTCACGACGGTGTCTACATTGCAGCTTTGTATATATATGTATACATTATATATATATATATATATATATATATATACCATCTATCCCAATCCAGTACTGTTTGCATTACAAGTCTTTTTTCCCCTCCTTTCCCTCCCTCCCCTCCCCCCTTACCTTTTCTCACCACTAAAGCTGCATCATTTACTTGTTGTCCTTTTATTACTAGCATATATAATTATATATCTTAATTTCTGTTTACTGGATTATTTTGTTTAAGATTTACTGAGTGATATCCACTACAAATTCTCTTGCGCCAATTGCATTTTTATTTAAAACAGTTGGTTGCTGCCAGTGTGCAAAGGAAGCAAGCTATAGCAGTGCAGCAGCAAACCAGTGTAGAGACTTAAAGTCAACACGAACAGGCTATAGCACTACAACAGCAAGCCATGGAGATGCAGCAGGAAACCAATATGCACCTGGCTGCCCAGCTTGAGGCACACAAGGAAGCGGTGCAAGCACAGATAGATGCTTTAGCCAAACAAGTAAAAGTTGTCCCCATCAACCCAATGACCTCAAAGACAAGCCACTTCCTACAGAAGTTGACAACTCATGATGATGTGGAGGCATTTCTGGTAACTTTTGAGAGGACTGACAAATGAAAGGGGTGGCCTAATGACCAGTGGGTTGGCATCATTGCCCTTCTTACTGGGGACCCCCAAAAGGCTTACTTTGATTTGCTGGCTGCAGAGGTCAGTACATATGAGAAGCTGAAAGAGGAGATCATTGCACGCCTTGGGGTGACCACCACTGTATGGCACACAGGATGCATACTTTCAGGTTCCAGTCACCCAGGGGGCCGATGCAGGAACTGATGCAGCTGGCAAAGAAATGGCTGCAGCCAGAGAAATTAATTGCACCCCAGATTGTGGAGTGGGTTGATTAGGACCGATTCCTGAGAGTGCTCCCAGAGGAGTTGCAATAGTGGGTCAGCCTCAGAGACCCACAGTCCCCTGAACAGCTGGTGTAGATGGTGGAGGGGTACCTGGTGACAGCTGAGACCTGTGGAGTGTGAAAATCCTGGGGGAGCGAGCCAACGCAGAGGACACACCTGGTCATGCATCAGGGAAAGAGCGATGGGAAGAACCCCGGAGTCAGCATGCAGGAGAGCCAAGGTGCTACTGCCCCAGCATCCCAGAGCTCTGCTCCCACACCCAGGAGTGAACAGGTGGTGTGCTGGCAGTGTTATAACCAGGGCCATATACAGGCCCAATGTCCCTTGTGGGAGGAGCCCATTGACTGCGGGGCTGTCCAGAGGATATCCTTTTTTTCCCCACAGTGTCTGTCACCCACCTAAACCTGACAAAAGAGAAAAAGTCAGTCATGGTTCAGTGGAATGACAGGGCAGAAAAAGCCTTTCAGGAGCTGAAAGTTATTGTCAGGGCTCTGGGAATAACCAGAGGTGTGTGGACTGACACAGGGAAACACAGACTTCAGGTGTAGCGTGTAAACAAGATAATTTATTAAGGACAACACAAACATAAATGCAGTGCAACAAACCAAACCCAAAACTAACACAAATACATACAACAAGGTGAAACAAACCCAAACCTAAACTGATTATATATATATATATATGTATATATGTATGGAGCACAACGTAGTCAGGCGGGCCGGGTCGTTAGCTAACGGGCAAACAGGGTACCAGGAGCGAGCAGAAGAGTGGTCAGGAATAGCCGAGGTCAGGACAGGCGGAGTTCATTCAGGGTCAGGATCAAAGCAGGATCAGGCAGGAAGCAGACAGAATGCAGGTACAGGGGCTCATGGGAAACATACACCAAGGCACTGATCACAGGCATGGTCCTGCTTAAATACACCTCCTGCAATCAGCCTCAGGTGATGGCCTGATTGCAGGAGTAAGATTCTGGCTGCCGAGAGCACCCGCTGGCCAGCCTTGGTACTGCAGCCCACAAGGCATGCGAGTCCCACCACCATGGGCGAGTCCATTCCTGACAGTACCCGCCCCCCCCAAGGAGCGGCCTCAGAACGCTCTAAACAGTCCTTAGTGGGCAAAATGTTCCACCGCCCGGGTCAGGTAACAGGCTGGGCAGTGGACAGAGGCACATCAGGCTGGGCAGCGGACAGAGGCACATCAGGCTGGGCAGCGGGCACCGGGCCATCAGGCGAGGCAGCGGGCACCGAGTCACCTGGCTCGACAGCGGGCACCGAGTCACCTAGCACGACAGCGGGCACCAAGTCACCTGGCACGACAGCGGGCACCGAGTCACCTGGCACGACAGCGGGCACCGAGTCACCAAGCTCGACAGCGGGTACCGAGTCACCTGGCACGACAGCGGGCACCGAGTCACCTGGCACGACAGCGGGCACCGAGTCATCTGGCACGATAGCGGGCACCGAGTCACCTGGCACGACAGCGGACACCGAGTCATCTGGCACGACAGCGGGCACCGAGTCATCTGGCACAACAGCGGGCACAGAGTCATCTGGCTGGATCGGGCCATCAGGCTGGGTAGCGGGCACCAGATCATCAGGCTGGATCGGGTCATCAGGCTGGATCGGGTCATCAGGCTGGATCGGGTCATCAGGCTGGATCGGGTCATCAGGCTGGGTAGCGTACACCAGATCATCAAGCTGGATAGGATCCTCAGGCTGGATCGGGTCATCAGGCCGGATCAGGTCATCAGGCTGGATCGGGCCATCAGGCTGTGTAGCGGGCACTAGATCATCAAGCTGGATAGGATCATCAGGCTGGGTAGGATCATCAGGCTGGATCGGGCCATCAGGCTGGGTAGCGGGCACCAGATCATCAAGCTGGATAGGATCATCAGGCTGGGTAGGATCATCAGGCCGGATCGGGTCATCAGGCTGGGTAGCGTACACTGGGTCATCAGGCATTAGGGTATCAGGCTGAACAACGGAAGGCGGGTTCACAGACGGCAGGCTGACCGGTTTGGATACTGGTAGGATGGTACTGGTTGGAAAGAATTTTCGCTTCTTCTTGGGTTTAGTTACTGGGGCACTGCAAGTAAATGCAGGTCTGTAAATGGAGGGAGTAGCTGGAGACAGAGAAGAGCTGGAGGATGGAACAGAGGAGGGCATAGTTGCTACAGAGGCCTTTTTTACAGGGTTAAAGGCAGGATAGGTGCAGTGAGTGGGAACAGGGTACTGACGTGGTAGATAACAGGGTATATTGGGCTGTCACTGGGGGTGCTGTCGGGAATGCAGGAGTAGAGCTTTGAGCAGAGGAATGATTGGAAGCAGGACTGGTTTGTTGCAAGCTGCCTGAGGCTGGGTGTAACAAGTCTGACCAGGACTGTAGTATTGGTTGAACAAAACTCAGCTTACACATAGCCTGTCTGACCAAAGACTGCACTGCGTTTATACAGTCCACTAGCACACGTGGTGAACATGCTGAATAATGCTCCCAGAAGCAATCCGGATCATCCTCCAACAACCATACCAGTGATTCTATTTGATCCGTACTGAATGGTGGAAGAAAGTCATTCCTGCTTTCAGGGGTATTAGATGAAGCCAACTCAACACAAGCCTGAATC